AAAAAAAAAAAAGAATATAGATAGTCAGGTGTGGTGGGGCAGGAACTTGAGGAGGAGGATCACAAAATCCTGTCTCAAAAAATTTTTAAAAGGCTGGGGGGCCGGGGATTTAGCTCAGTGGTTCTGCCGCCTGCCTTGCAAGCCGAAGGACCCGAGTTCGATCCCCGGTACCAAAAAAAAAAATTAAAAATTAAAAAACAAAATAAAAGGCTGGGGATGTAGCCCTGGGTTCAACCCCCAGTACCACACACACGAAAAAAAAGCAGATAAATATACACACACATGCATTTTCATATGTGTATATATATGGTATTGGGACAATGCTGTCCCAATTTCACTCTCTTGGATATAGGATTTCAGACATTGGAATAAGTAAGAAAACATAGAAGTAGATGGAGTTTTAAAACAGAATATCAGTGTTTTAAACCTTAAAGAAAACTATCAAGTGTACCATTAGGTATATGAGTTTTGCAGACAAAAAGTTTCCAAAATGGTCATTTGTTTTTCTCCGTCTACAGATGGAGATGTGGCAGTATGAAAATGATTGTGAGATAGAGAATGGAGAACGTACATTTTTTTAAAAATTAAAAGGCGGGCTGGGGATTTAGCTCAGTGGTTCCAGTGCCTGCCTCGCAAGCTCAAGGTCCCAAGTTCGATCCCCGGTACCAAAAAAAAAAAAAAATTAAAAGGCATATAATACATATCTTAAAAATCTTGTATTACTGAAGTCAGTTTGTTACTTTGTAGTATAAAATTATTTCATCTATTACTTGGTTTACTTCAAAAGTAAAGGTTGTGCCAGGTATGTCAGTTGCTTGACTTTAATCCTAGCACTCAGAAGACTGAGGCAGGAGGATCGCCTCAAGTTAGAAGCCAGCTTGGGGTACATGGTGAGTTCAAGGAGACCCTGTCTCAAAAGGCCGAAAGGGAAAAAAAGGTTTCATATTGACAGTTATTTTCCAAATTCTTAATACTTTGGAAAATATCTTAATCCTTTTCCTAATAATTACACAAATTCTACATATATTACAGAAAAATTAAGCCAGGCATGGAGTCGCACGCCTGTGAGCCCAGTACTCAGGAAGCTGAGGCAGGAGGATTGCTGTGAATTTGAGGCCAGCCTGGGCTACAGAGTGAGGCCTGCCTCACCAAAACAAAAAAAGGCCCAGGGATGTAGCGCTCAGTGGTGCCGTACTGGCCTTGTAAGTGCAAGGTCCTGAGTTCAATCCCAAGAGAAAGACAGAGAGGGAGAGAAGGAGGGAGGGAGGGGAGAGGAGAGAATATTAGTAAACATATTTTTTTTAAATTACTCGTAACTTCACTCAGAAAAGCCAGTATTGAAATTTTAGTATATATATCTTTATAGACTTATTTTTTATTTAGGGATGTAAGGCGGTGTAAACATGGCTGTACACTCTTTGTATAATGTTGAATTTTTGAATTCTTGAATGTGAAATTCCTGAGTCAGCTCCTCGTGTAGAAGCTGTTTCCTCTAGACTTTTTTTAGTCATGCCTACCCTAGTTTCCTGAAGCAAGAACAGCTTAAAAATCATCAACAGAATGGTGTGGCAGATAAAGGAATTCCATTCTAGCCATGCTGCTCCTTCTATAGCTGGAACTCGAGTCACACCAGTTCCTCCAGATTCCCATAGTGATATTCTTGTTTGGTTTTATTTTTGGCAACAGAACCTCACTATGTAGTCCATCCTGGCCTTGAACTCATGGCAATCCTCTTGCCTCAGCCTGCCAAGTGCTGTGATTGTACTACCTAGGCCTGCACTACCACACCCAGCCCATAGTGATTTTTCAAAACTTGTCATTTCCTTATAGAAATCTGAGTACCACAGACCATTTCTACTTTTTATGACTATGCAATCCCAATAGTACAGAGACAGAAAATGTCAGTCAGCCTCCTAGATCATCACTCCTCCTACTTGTCATCTGCACCATACCAAAAAATGATGCCATGAGTGGCATTCTGAAATAGATATTATGAATCATGATTCTCCTCTTTATAATATCTGTATGTAAAGGACACTTTTGTGGTTCTCTAACATTGCCACAGGAATAATGTCATCATTAGCAGAGCAGCAAGTCGTTTAGCCCAGAGAAACATGGATACTTTTCAGGGAATGAATTGAGAAGAAATGGTGAGTTGGGCCAGGGATTTAGCTCAGTGGTATCGCCACCTGCTGCGAAGCACAAGGACCTGAGTTCGATCCCCAATACCCAAAAAAAAAAAAAGACAGAAATGGTGAGTTGCCTATTGAAGATTATTTCCAAAACCTACATATGTGTGTGTGTGTGTGTATATATATATATATATATATATATATATATATATATAAACCCCTACATATATATCATTTTTATATTACTAAGCAAAATTAATTTTGGAATTTGTGATACAGTTTGGAACACTAGTTTTTTTTTTAATAGCTTTATTATCAAACACACATACAAAAAATTAAAACCAAAGATGAACAATGCAAGGGGAGAAAAACTACAATAATATTCAAATACAGTAGAACTCAACCAAAACAAAACTGAAAAGCACTTAAACATTTTTCCATATAACTTAAAAAAGCATCTCAAGCACCAGCAAGACACCAGAGGATGTGGTTTGTTTCAGAAAGTTCCCCAAAAC